TGAATGACAAAATGCAATACTATAATTAGAGAAAAAAAAAGCTTTTCTTCTGTCTTTATCTAGTATGATGCATTGATTTGGTATAGTTTTTACTTCCTATGCCCTCCCTTACTTAACCCTACTCCTTTTTCCAAGCTCGGGACTGGTACAAAAACCATCAAACTGGCAAATGAAGTTCAGCTATTAACATGTATAAAGTGAATGTCACCTGTGGCGTTCGGCTCCACTCACATAGAGCTCCACGAGGCTAGCAGTTACAGGAGCACATTTGGAGCTGAGTTCTATATCAGGAATAGAAATCGATTTTAACTGAGTGAAATAAAAACACCAGGATCATGTAGATCGGGTTAATACGAATATTTTAAGATCAAAACAAGCAGCCTGACAGCAGCAGTTACAGAGAGAGGGTTGATGATTTTTCAGTACAAAGTGAACGAAGCTGGAGTTGATGGAGCCAGAAGTGCGTTCATGCTCACTTCTTATTTAGAACTAGCTAGTGGGTTAACTATGTCCATACAACCTATAGTTATAAATCATTAACTCTTGTACAAAATTTGAGTCTCAATTAAGGCATTTATGGTCACAACTTTGTACCTTTCTGATGAATAGCAAAACATATAAAAACACCTTATCATTATCAGCCCCGTTAAAGGACCATTGTGTAATTTTCTGATGGAGGTTCTGTCAAATAAAAATTCTGTCAATTTTCTCCATGGAGATGTTATGTCTTTGTCTGGAATGTTTCACACTATGGTATTAAATCCTTTTATTATCATGGAGACCAAACCAGACCAAGTTAAAGGTTAGATTTGTCAAGAGGCATCCCCGCTCACAGTCAGAATGCCTGTTTTTCTAGGTACTTTTGAGCTATAAAACCACATGGAAATTAATAAATGTAAGGTAGAGCTGCTTAATGTCATACTGTAGAACGCTCCAGGTAGAGCAATGATATCTCCACAGAAACAAGCAGGTGATGGACACTTCAACTTTGCTCTCACCTCAGCTCCATGGGGCAGGCTGCGTTTTCGGGAGTCCGGGGAGGGCTCTGCTGAGTGCAGAGGGGTCAGACCGTTCCTCATCTGCTCCACTGAGGGGGACTTTGGGACAGTCCACACAGGAGCACCATCTGCACCAAACACAAGAACAAAAGTAGGTATGAGACTGGTACAGGCACAGAGGAGCTGGGCTCATTCTTTTCAAAGTTCAAAAGAAGTTGGGAGCTGTGTTTAAAAGCTTTTCAAAAGAGAAGATAAACAACATATCAGGGGTTGAGACCACTTTATGATAGACAGCACATATTTGGTATTTGATGCAAGCAACACATCAGTTATCTTACATCAAAGCCTAGAGTATAGCTGGATTATGATGATGACAGATTTTAAGATATATATTTTCCTCTATCAGGCATGTCCAAACTATTATGCAAGACTTTTTACTGCAAGTTTGTGAAAATCTAACTTGATAAAGCCAATAACAAATATTTAGTGCACCATATTGGATCTAAGCATAAAATGAAAGGTGTATTATCTCACTCAAATCTGTTATAAATGCACTTATCAAATGATCTATTATATTATCTTTATATTATTATGTTTTGATATGTGGCCCTTGACGGAAAAAAGTCTGTGCACCCTTTGGATGTTTAATTGGATGTTTAAAGATGCACTATGAAACTATGTCTGCCAACTGAGATAGTTACTGTATGTTTAATGCCATTGTGTGGAACATTCCAGACAAAGCAATAACATCTATGACTAAGTTTTATAGTGTACCTTTAAAGTTGGTCAAAAATATGAAAAAAACAAAACAACAATTATTGGTTTCAACACCTGATATGATTTAGTTCTATGTTTATACAAAGCCTCCCAACTTTTGAGAACTGGTTTTATGCATTATTGAGAAGCTTGAATATAAAAAGCAGTTGATATGAGCCTATTTGAATCTGATATAAGCTTTTCATAACAGGCATATCAGATTGACAGCAGAGACAGCAGGAAATTGGCGTGGCGTCTCAGTCCCTGTGATGTTACAAAGCAAAGGTCGAATGCTTCTTCTTCAGTTTGCTTGCATTATGGGAGAATAGACCAGTTCTGTTCTCCTTTGTTATAGACTGGGTTACTTTAGCAGCTCTTAAAGGTCCTATATTACACAAAATGGACTCTTGTGAGCTTTTTGCCATGTTAGAATATTATTACTTCATCAAAAACATACCTGGAGCTGTGTTTTGTTTCATTCACACGTCATACCATCCAAATGAATCTACGCAAAGTGTATGAACTGGAGCACTTCCTGCATTACCAAATGACATCACAAGGTGGAACAGAGTGCTTTCAGTTTGAGAAAAGAACACAATCTAAATATGCACTCTTTGTGGGTTAAACATGTGTAAATGAAACAAAATAAAGTTTCAGATATATTTGTAATGAGGAAACAGCATTATAACATAGGTCTGGAAATGGCGTAATATGGGCCCTTTAAGCAAGTTTGATTAAGAACTGAAAATACTGGTAATGGTAAATACCTTTTCCTTCAGATCTGTTTCTAGTAAAGTTATATAATGTAAAGTGTCTGCCCACATCAGTGATCTGTATTTCACGGAGCAACACCTGAACGACCTCTATGGCTTTGGCTGTGTAATAAAAAGTATTTAATTAACAGAATCACAACATTATGCAGTTTTGCAATGTCTTATCTAATAAAAAATCTTATCAGTATAGTCGAGCTACCTTTTCACTACATGCTTTTTAGACGCTTTTAAGGTACTAGATTTTTACTTAATTTTTAGCTGATTTTAAAGGCTTTGCAGGAGCTCTAAATTATTCCTCACTTTCCTGATGCATTTCTAAGCATCCTAAATATTCACAACAATGAGATAAGCATATTTCACTAATCTCAGAGGGGGTAAAGCTAACAACAACAAGCATGCTAACCAAGCACCAATGTTACTTCCTGACCATAAAAAATTTGACCAAAAGCTGCTTTTACAATATATCTATACTTACATGCAGTATGTTTCAAAGTTGAATGTTTTTATCACACAACTTAGCTATAAAAACAGATTTTTTTAAAAGGACAAACATGGTGAATTTGTACTAGTCTTTTTACATAGTAATTATCAAAAGTTGAAACTGCCTTCAGAAAAACTCTTCCACTCATTTAAAGATAAATGAAAGAGGTCAAAGGTCAGATCATGTTCACTTTGTGCGCTGTAACTGGACTCCACTGGCCTGAGTCCTGCTCTGAGCCCATTACAGTGTGCTGACATGGGCCGTGCTGGTTCTGATGAGACCAATGCAAAGCTCCTTAAAAACAGTGAAATCAGCTTCAGGCCCTTTGTGTACTGTGTGTACTGTGTGTACTGTGTGTACTGTGTACTGTGTGTACTCAGTGCTCTGGTCCGCTGACAGTTTGATGGACAGGAGCGGAGAGAGTGTTAGCGAGTCTGTGGCTAATGCTAACGGACAAGTGTACATTGATGGATCTGGATCTGAAAGCAAAATAGTTTCCATCTTTATAATTTTTATACTGTAAAGTTTACAGAAGTTCATTAATAAGCGCTGTTCCTATAAAATGAACAAAAAAAATTATAGAGATACAGTCAATGGAAGTGAGCATTTTTGCGATGTCTCATGTTTACACTGTCAGTAATCAATAATAAACTCACTATCAAATCATTTTTAAAAGCTTTTCAGGGACTGTCAAGAATAAAGATATTAAATCGGGGTAACCCAGAATTTTACGTTTTTAAAACATACATTATCACAAATGTGCTTACTGTAGTGCAGGTTTTAGGGTTCAAATGCTGCATAGCTTCTAGCACAATAATACTGACACAGAACTGGGATTAAATCTGGACTACACCAAAACTAAACCTGTCTAAACAAGGAATTCATGAAATTAAACCAAGAAGCCAGGACATTAATTTCTTCAAATATTTTTTAAGATTTAAGATTTTTTTTTACTTTGTCCATTGTCACAGAGGAACCCAGAAATGGAGAGAGTGAGATGAGGGTGGGTGAACAGTGCCATTGGTGACTGGATACATGCAGCGAAAGTGAAAGTGAAAGTAAACATGCGGCAGATGTTTCCAATGGCTCCAACTTCCATTTCTGGGCACTGATTTAAGTTCTTTAGATTCACTTCCATAAGGTAAAGGTATTATTTCAGTAGAAGCTGGTTTCTGCCATTGCACTGAAATGATCTCAAATGAAGATGTTAAAATGATTATACTGGCCATTATCACACAATATGATGAGTTTATAATATGCTTATACAGACTGTGTAAAAACAGTTCTGTTAATTAACCGATTTTCACAGTGCTTCCATAGCTCACTTCAGTTTGAGTTTCCCTGTTTCAGCAGCAGAGACCAGCTTCAGAGGGAAGGAGTTGTTTCCAGGATTGCGTCCAAATGCATTCCTTTACTTTGTGTTGTAAAGGAAAAATGCAGGATCCACTGTGCTGATATTTCACTGTCTCAATTGTGACTGGTAGGTTATTTAATGTTATTTAAAGATATATTACTTAAAAGTGCATTATGTAACTTTTTGGTCAGGGGTTCGTCACCTTCGTGTCATTGCTCTGCTTCAAATGTTCGAATATGACAATAAACAAATCTACCCTACATTTATTCAATTATAGAGATCTGACCAGTAACTGATTTGGTTTGGTCTCCATGATGATAGAAAGGTTTAAAGTCACATAGTGAAACATTTCTGACAAAGCAATAACATCTCCATACAGAAAAGCAAGTGGTGGACCTCCACCAGAAAATTGACATAATGCACCTTTAATCCCTGTGGCTATATGTATCCTGTTGATCACGTATTTGTATCAGGAGCATAAACTCATGCTTGTGCCTCTTCACAGAGGTCTCAGTCCATGCAGAGGCAGTACACACTGAACCCACCAGCCACACCCTGTATCAGCTGCACGGGCCGGATCATGCCACTGTCCCGGACCTGAACCAAGCCCCCAGCACCGCAGTGTGGGTCACATGCCAGAGGCAGGGAGCAGCTGCACCCCCTAGTGGTCAAACTGTATATGCCAAACGACGGAGAAAGAGAGGTGAGCAGTACTTGCAGCCGGGGCGTCCCACTCCACACCAGCCCCTGTCTGAGGAGCAGCTACAGGGCAGAGCGACTGTGGGCGCAAACACAACACCAACACGTGAGGAGGCAAGGCCAAGAGGGAGGGCATCTGACACAAATATGAGGACCTAAGACTGGAGCTGTTAGGGGCCTTGGAGACAAGTGTATCTTCAAGCATGTGCATGTTTTTTCACATTGCTTAAGCTGTGTTTATATCATTAATATCACATTTACATTGATGGTGTAATTAGTGAAGGTCAAGTTCACATATTTAGAGATATACTGAATATGACTGAAGATTTCTCTAGAGTCCGATCAGCTGCAGGTTTCCAGTAACAGAGTAATCTCCTAAAAGCATTGGATTTCCTGAGCTCCACCTCCTTCCTGCCGACACAGTCACTGATCAGAGACAAGAACCAAGAATCACAAAACACACATTTACCAAAACTTTTATCTTTAAAAACTCAAATATAATATGTATTGCAGTGAATCCAAAAATGCCATCTTCAGTATTGCACTCTTTGATACATTACTTAGACATCATTCTGGGGGGGTTCTACATGTATGTCCATGGCAGACTGTTCAGCAGTTACCATGGAGACCCAATGCACACATTTGCAAACACATCCTTAGTTTGTAGTAGTTTTTGACTGTAATTTGATGTGTGTGAGACATATTTAGCAGTACAAATCAGCTCACCTCTTGTGCTCAGGTGAGACAGTAAGACAGCTCTTTCTGGTCACATTATGTTAAATTTAAATTCAGATGAAAATCTAACTTGAGTAACAGAGTTGGTTCAGTGCAGAGAAGGTTTCATTTGTGATCATCTGGAGTGTGTTTTTATGATCAAGATGTTTCAGCTCCATCCAGAAGAGCACAAATGAAACCTTCTCCACATCACCCCTAGAAAATGTTGATGAAGTCAGCTGCAAAGAATAAATGTTTGTTGACATGACTACTATAGGCCTACTACATTCTACTGCTGATACAGATAACTTATTAAAGGTGTATTGTGTAACTTTTCTGATGGAGGGTTCATCAAATGCTTCACAGAGACGTTATTGCATTCCAGAAACAAGCTGGTGATGGACCCCCAACCAAAAAGTTACATAATACAGCTTTAAAAACAAATACTATCCTTCACCCTGAGATTCCTGTCCAGAGAAGCAGCTCAGGACGCAGAATGTTTAAACTCTGACTTTATTGGGTCCATAGGATTTGGCACATGTAGGGTTAACAGCTCTGACATAGGCACCAGTGAGAAAGTTTGGCAATAGTCCTTTAGGAGAGTGCATAGATTTAAAGGTACCAGTTCACACAAAAGCCCTTCATATTTGACATGCATAAACACAGAAATGTTTGTGTGGAATTTAAAATAGCTTTTTCAAACACACGTCACATACATGTCTCATTTGGCACTGCCTTTTCAATGCATTTAAATACATTGAACAATAATGAATGAAAAATGACACAAAAGACAGAAAACACAAAATGGACGGGCAAAGGTGACTAGCTAGTTTGCTGGGCCTTAATTTACTCACATAAAAAAAAATAAAAAAATACTTGTGATGTTACTGTAAATGTAACACAAGTTAAATTACTGGCAATAGTATTCACATCAATGTTGCATAGATAAATACTTATTGCTTAAAGGTCCCGTATTACACAGAATTGTTTCCTGTGAGCTTTAAGCAACATATAATATTGTTACCTCATAAAAAAACATACCTGGAGTTGTGTTGTGTTTTGTTTCATTCACACACATGTTTGAGTAATTTATTATTAGTCTGCCTACATCTCCAAAGTTCAAAATAGTTCCACCTTGGGAAGTCATGAAGTGGTAGTTTTCAAGGTAACAGCTCCTTTTACCTTTAATTCAGTACAGATTGGCAATTCCAGGTCTGAAATTATCCAAATAATTCTAGTGAAGGTGTATGGAGTTTAAAAACACAGTGGGTGCTCCATTGTGTTTTTATTACCACATGACATCACAAGGTGGAACAAAACACAACTCAAGCATATTTTTGATGAGGACACAACATTATAACATAGATCTGAAAATAACATAATATGGGCCCTTTAATGTGCGGAAAAGGAACATTTGGTTACCTTGTTATTTTGTAAATATATTAATACAACTATCAAAGCAGTACATATACGCAGTCCTTTTCCTTCTTTCAACACTTCCTGAGAATTGTACTTTGCAATCATGATACTTTATAGTTACTACTACTACATATTATCGCTATTCTTACAAAACAGCTTTTTTATCTTTAAAACAGTTATAATATGTATTTTTCAACAATTAGTTACATTAGTTCCTCTTTCCTATTACTTTAACTTCTGGTTTATTTGTCTTTCTGTATAGTAGCTGTAATAAAACTGTTTACCCCAAATGCCCTTTAGCTTTACCCTTTACCCAAATACCTACCTCTGCAGAGGACAGACACACAGACAAATGCAACTTTCAACAACATTTAGTACACACATTGAAGTTCAGAGTCTCCACCAGGCATGGGCAGGAGCCACAGTCCAACCTGCCCAAAGGGGTTTTCCCAGTGGGGCAGGGCTCAGAGCAGGGGGAGAGGGGAGAGAGGGGGGAGAGCAGCACAGACTCACCAGAGGGGGCGCTGTGGTTCCTCTGAGAGGCCTGTGACGGGGCAGGGGCGGTGGGGTTGGTCTGGGTCTGCTGGAGGATGTTGAGGCACTCTCCCAGGCAGCTCAGTGTGGCGGCGGACGTGGCTTTGAGCAGCAGCAGGTCGTGGTCCAGGCAGGAGAGGGGGCCTTTGGTTGGGAGAGAGTCAATGGACTGTACCAGGCTCTTCTGCTGGCCCTCTGCCTGGGACATCACCTGAACATACATGCATATACTATATCATTTATCTGCATTTTTTTATAGGGACATTGCACAGGGTTAGGGTATTGAACAAATGCAAACATGCGAAAGTACTGATACTTTGCAGCTGATGTCAACAATATTCCCTGACAGTGTGATGCTAACTGCAGGCTCTGCTCTGTCTGAGGCTTTATTTGACTTTAATCTGAGCTTTATTTTAGCACAATCTGACCAGAAAGAGCAAACTTAGTTGGAACTACACTAGGTGAGCTGATTTGTGCTGTGGCTTCACAGCTCTTTGCTGATTGGCCGGTGAGCAGTCTACAACTTCATGGGTTCTTGCAAACCGTCTAGTGTATTCCGATTCCTGACTTAGTCACTGGAGAGAAATTAAATTGAGTGGAGCCAGTCTGGCTAACCGCTCCGGTCTGGTGGCTGCAACTATTCCGTACAGCAGTCCAGTGGTGCTGATGGAGGTGCTGCGACGCTCTGGATCAATCAGTCGGATTCTATTTCTGCCGGACACTGGAGCGACTGCAGGCTTTTCCCTTCATGAATTAATTCTTATGGCACATACACGTGGTCTTTGTACAGCCTTCAAAAGTGCTGACCGCAACAGCCAAGCGGAGCTCCGGTCCTCATGTGAGTGTCACAGCAATAAGACCAGTCACCCACACTGAGCTGCAGCTGGATGGGGGCAGTCTGAGCCCGGGGTTAAACAAGTCTCTCACACATAAAATTACAGTCACATGCTAACTAGCATTAGACAACAGTTTTTCAGTTCATCTCTCTCACCATTTTTGTTGAAAATCAAAGACCTAAACAGGACTTTCAACACTCGTATTGACCACAGGCTCCTTTAAATCCATTTTGTATGTTTTTAGTTGTTTTTCCTTCAAAATGTTTTTGACAGTGTTTCCTAATTTTTGCACTGTGTCTCCATGGTAACTGGTAAATATTCCACCATACGGATACATGTAGAACACCCCCAACCTCATGTCACTGCAAAGTATCAATAGCTACAAAACAAATTTACATGTGCGGTCCCCAGGCAGGTAACAACACAAGTACAACATACAAAGAAGAAGTTAATACAAGAAAATTAAGTTAAGAATCTCTGTCAGTCATTTAAAGATATAAAAACTGTTAAAACCTAGATCATGTTTACTTGTTGGACCATAAAACAGAATAGTCACTTATATTAGCCAACAGTTTGTGGAAAAGAGAGCTACAGCTTTATCCCACCTCCTCAAATGTGATGCCCTTCCTAAATATGTTCCGGTCTATATAATCTTATTAAATTATAGCTTACTCAAAGTGGTGAATACATTATCGATTATGAGTCTCCTTCAGCAATCACATACACTCAGGGAGCAAGGTGGGTGAGAAGTCCTGCCCAAATGATACATGACAGAACATGGTCAGAGCAGGAATCAAACTGCCAACCTCTGAGTTTGTGAGTAACAAGGATTCTCTGCTGAGACAGAAAAAATAAACCAAAACCAATCAATACAAGCATTCATGTTCCTGTTTAGGTGCTATAGCTCGTAACTGTAATTTTATGTGTGAGAGACTTTTTTAACAGCACAAAACCTGTCGTAGGTCCAACTAAGTCAGCTCTTTCTGGTCAGACTGTGTTTAGTAGCAGTACTAGTAGTACTACTAGTAGTAGTAGTAGTAGTAGTAGTAGTAGTAGTAGTAGTAGTAGTAGTAGTAGTAGTAGTAGTAGTAGTAGTAGTAGTTATTCGGTCATTTTCCAGCACTACAAAACAAAAAGAAAACAAAACATAGACTACAACCCAGTAGATCATGACCGTAAGGGTTTAGGCTGAAGTAAAAAGTATTTATAATGTCTAACCCTATTAAACAATGACAGTATTTCAAGAAAGAAAAGCAGCATATGAAGAGCAAGTTTGCATTTACAATTTCACTTGTGACAAACTGTATATATAAGAGATAAAATATCAATTAAAACAAACTAAATTGAATGCATAATTCATTCTTTCCAAAGCTCTATGGCTCTGGAATAACGCTTTATACCCTTTTTTAAAGGCTTCTACAGTGTTAGACGTTTTTAACTCATCACTCAGGTTGCTCCATATACTAACCCCTCTAACAGAAATACAGTCACTTTTTTTCTCAGAGGGTTTGTTGATGCATAGTAATTCACAAGATTTGTTAAAAACCAAGCTCAGACTAAATTCTATCTTGAGTAACAGAGTTTCAGACAGAGTAGTACTTTCAGTTAGGACCAGAGAGTGCTGATGAGATCAGCTGCAGTGTATCAATACTATTTGATAGTATTAACACAATGCTTTTGATGACTCCTTGACCAGTAGCACTTTAAGTTAAGTCAGAAAAGACTAGACCAGCAGCAGTTGAAAAAGTTACTCATTTTCACAGACAGAACCAAACACTATTGCTCTGAAGCGTTGTTATATTGTGCGTAGGAGGTGATACAACAACAACAAGTATCTCATCTTTCTATTCAGTCTTGACAACAGACAACACAAATCTGTCTGACCATCTAAAAGAAATGAGCAGTTGTAACAAGTGCGCAATTTTACCAAAACTAATAAAAGTTCCTTAAAGGGCACGCATTATGCAGAATTTATTTTTGTGAGTGTCTTAATGTTGTCACCTCATCAAAAATATACTTGGAGTTGTGTTTTGTTTTATTCACGCATGTTTTAGTAACCCTTTATTATTAGTCTGTGTACATTTCTGATGCTCTAAATAGTCTGTTCCACCTTGTAATCTCATGAAACAATAGTTTTCAAGTTAACAGCTCCATTTACCTTTTGTTAAGTACAGATCACCAATTCTGGGGCTGAAATTATCCAAATTATTAGAGTGAAGGTGGATGAAGTTTAAAAACACACTGGAGCACTTCCTGTATTACCACATGACATCACAAGGTGGAACAAGGTGTTTTCTGTTCTGAGAGAAGAACTCAGCCTAAATATGCAGGATTTGTGTGTGAGAGAATGAAGCAAAACAGAACTCCAGGCATGTTTGTGATGAGGAAACAACATCATTACATAGATCAGAAAACAGCATAATATGGAACCTTTAAAGCTGCACTGAGTAACTTTTCTGGTGAAAGTTTCTCCACCAGTTTGTCTACCTGGAATGGCCCGCAGTAAGGCATTAAACTTGCCTATCTCAAAGGAGAAAAGCACCTGTTTTTGTTGGTCACATTACAAGGCAAATTTGTAGAGCAGTAAAAACACAAAAGTAATTTAACAGATGCAGTTCATATGGGTTTAATGCTATAGTGTGGAACATTCCAGGCAAAGCAATAACATCCATGGAGTCAGGTGACAGGTGACATATCCTCCACCAGAAAATGCCTCTTTAAGATGTAACATAAGAGACTCTCGAGCGTGAGTCAGCAAAAAATATGATTTCTGTAGAGTTGACTTCAATTTGTGGCATTTTCTTTCTAGTCTTCCTCGCGTTTCTGAGTCACAAAGGTAATTGCATTGATGAGATGAACGTGTCCTATGAAACAGATTTGTAGCTCAAGAAGTTTGAAGGGCAGAGTTAAACATCAAGATGCCAAACAGAGTCTATTAAAACCCAGGTACAAAACGTGACCAGCATTAATATGTGTAAAACAGCTGACTAATTGGTGACGCATACTTCTTCGATTGTACATACACATACAATCCATCAACTTTGAGTGATGGAGTGGGGGCTGTGCGCACCCAAGCATCCAGACAGCTGTCATTAAGGAGAGGGATACTGCACACTCATACAATATTAATGAACAAAACATTTCCAGGCTGATAAACAAGCCTATTAGCAGCAACAAGCATATCATTTTTACCTTTGCTGACTCACGCTCGAGAGTCTCTTATGTTACATCTTAAAGAGGCATTTTCTGGTGGAGGATATGTCACCTGTCACCTGACTCCATGGATGTTATTGCTTTGCCTGGAATGTTCCACACTATAGCATTAAACCCATATGAACTGCATCTGTTAAATTACTTTTGTGTTTTTACTGCTCTACAAATTTGCCTTGTAATGTGACCAACAAAAACAGGTGCTTTTCTCCTTTGAGATAGGCAAGTTTAATGCCTTACTGCGGGCCATTCCAGGTAGACAAACTGGTGGAGAAACTTTCACCAGAAAAGTTACTCAGTGCAGCTTTAAAGGTTCCATATTATGCTGTTTTCTGATCTATGTAATGATGTTGTTTCCTCATCACAAACATGCCTGGAGTTCTGTTTTGCTTCATTCTCACACACAAATCCTGCATATTTAGGCTGAGTTCTTCTCTCAGAACAGAAAACACCTTGTTCCACCTTGTGATGTCATGTGGTAATACAGGAAGTGCTCCAATGTGTTTTTAAACTTCATCCACCTTCACTCTAATAATTTGGATAATTTCAGCCCCAGAATTGGTGATCTGTACTTAACAAAAGGTAAATGGAGCTGTTAACTTGAAAACTATTGTTTCATGACATTACAAGGTGGAACAGACTATTTAGAGCATCAGAAATGTACACAGACTAATAATAAAGGGTTACTAAAACATGCGTGAATAAAACAAAACACAACTCCAAGTATATTTTTGATGAGGTGACAACATTAAGACACTCACAAAAATAAATTCTGCATAATGCGTGCCCTTTAAGGAACTTTTATTAGTTTTGGTAAAATTGCGCACTTGTTACAACTGCTCATTTCTTTTAGATGGTCAGACAGATTTGTGTTGTCTGTTGTCAAGACTGAATAGAAAGATGAGATACTTGTTGTTGTTGTATCACCTCCTACGCACAATATAACAACGCTTCAGAGCAATAGTGTTTGGTTCTGTCTGTGAAAATGAGTAACTTTTTCAACTGCTGCTGGTCTAGTCTTTTCTGACTTAACTTAAAGTGCTACTGGTCAAGGAGTCATCAAAAGCATTGTGTTAATACTATCAAATAGTATTGATACACTGCAGCTGATCTCATCAGCACTCTCTGGTCCTAACTGAAAGTACTACTCTGTCTGAAACTCTGTCACTCAAGATAG